TGAACCACAAACACCATAATGATATGAACTATGTATATATACATATATATGTTAACTGATATGCCTTTGGCTAATTTGACTTATCATGCTGATAAATACTTGGCTAAAATACTTTAGTTCCAACGAAAATCATCGTTCGTTTTCAATGGGATTCGGAATAAAGGTAAATCAACTTAATCGGATAATCAAAATCGCACGTTTCCTCACCTTAGTTTCATGTTGATTAAGGTTGTATCAATTGTTATTGCTTTTAAGTATCTTCTGATGATAGTAATAATTATATGTTGTTTTTGTAGCACAGTGCACTTTGAATACTTTGAATTCCTCACAGCTTGTTTACAGTTTATGTTTATGACAGAGCTGGCCTTTGTTTTGATAGCACTCGACGTATGCTCTTCAAATATCTGTCCATTTGTCTTTTTCACTTTTATTTCACTTTCTGTCAGCGAGTCTCGAGTTCCGCTCGACACGTCTAACGTTCCTTTGTAGTATCACAGCACTGAAACGCCCAGCGAACCGTCCCTTTTCTTAAATACCCAGCCGAACCGAACCGCACTGAGCCGAGCCGGAGAACGAGAACGAGAACGGGCGCTCGTTCGCCCGTAATCATGGCAGCCGGAATCGTTTGTTAATTGCTTGTACGGCTGTACAAAATAAGAATGTACAATATCTATGATAAGATAGCCGGGCAATATATTGGCCACGATCAGGGGGGGGGGGGGGGGGGGGGGCGAGACAAGCGCCCAGTTGAGCGGCTTTGTCGATAGTGCGAGAATAAGGGCAAGCAATAGAGAGCAGGAGAAAGAGAGTGCGAGAGGGAGAGGGAGAGGAGGGAGAGAGTTAGAGAAGGAGGAGTATGGAGTGTTCGGCTAGTTACAATCACGCCTGCCCCTTGTGGGGCCAAATTGGCACTTCATTTACTCAATGATGCACTAGAACTTTTTAATTGGACAATTTGAGTCCAGTACGGTTTTGTATATATCGTACGGAATATATTATAATGCTCTTTAAAAGACTGATTGATAAATATATAAAAATAATGTAAGTCTTTCGATTTTCCTTAAACTTTATATAGAAATAGTTGTACTTCGCAAATAGTACCATTTACCTAAAATTTCTAATACTATAAGTCGACTTTCTTCTGTTAAAATTCGCAACATGTTCGCCACATTGCTGTCATCTGTTACTTAAGAGAATCAGAATACCGTTAGCTGACTTTCTTCTGTTAAAATTCGCAACTTGTGCGCTACAAATTTAGCCACATTGCTGTCAGCTGCGATGTTGACATTTTCGAGTACTGGCGTTCAAATTTGAAGAAGCGCCCGCCCAGCCCAGACCCACTCTCTCTCTCTCTGGCCCAGTAACCACTCACAATGCCGGCCACTTGCCAGTGGAATTCTACCTTCTGGCTTACGTGTCACATATATGCAGATGTACTCGAAGCGGTGCAGTGGGATTACGCGAATTACTCACGGAACTGCGACGCGCCGGCTGACGGACTGACAAACTGATGGACTGTTGTCTGATAGGCAGAGTCTAGTGTTTACATTTCGGCTCTACTGTGATTATATATGGCTTGTAACCAGCTTTAATAGTGGGTACACAACAACAACAACAGCAACAAGTGGTGCCAAAAACTAAACACTTCAGAGTGCAAGTAATTAAAATACCAGCCCCTAAAGCTATTACCCGTGCTCATGCCCATGCTCATGACCATGCTGATGCCCATGCCATCAGCCGATCTGTTGCCATGCATCCAAGCGCTGGCTGGGCTTAGGCAGCTCCATAAAACGTGCTGGTTTATGGGAACTGTTGCCAGCCAGGTGCTTGGTTCAGGCGCGGCTAAATGGCGAATGTCAATGGCAATGCCATCAAAAGCAGCCAGTCTGATCTTTTTGTTTATGTTCTTGAGGCAACAAATCAATGAACTCAGCTCGAGTGGATCGTTTCGTTGCGTTTGTTGGGAGAGGGGCGGTTGGGGGGTTTCATGTCATGGGGGCAAGGTCGCAGGCACTTCAATGATTGCCCGGCGAAATGCTGGCCGTGATTGGGTTTGCTGTCAACATACTAATTGGTATATTGCTTTATTTGTTTATTTGCCTTGCGTCTGGGATTGAAATCTGTAATGTATTTCGGCTCGGGGCTGGGCAAAACTCGCAATTATTTTATCTATTTGCGGAAATTTTCCCTCAAATCGTAAAGCCTTTATGGCGACGCACGATACCCAAACGTGCCCAGTCATGGATGCGGTTTCCATTCGAATGTCTCAGCGCACCAAAAGAAACAGGAAAATATGTCTTCGACACGCCGCAATTTGAATACCCTTACAGACAATCGTCTATCAGCAGAGTTGAGAATCATTTTCAATGGTTTTTGGCTTGAAGCCATTTCCTGCTCCTGGATTCGGCTCATGAAGCTAAATTTAAGCTTTTTCTTGTCATAGATTTATTAACTTTTAATTAAATAAATCAGTTTCTAAGTTACAATTGCCTGTTGTACTGAAAATATTGCAAGTCGTAGATATTTTCATATGCAAGTTTCAGGCTAGATTCTATTTATTCCCAAAAATTGGCATTTACTGCAATTTTTGGTTTTTTATCATTTATTATTATATATACCTTATAAACATACATATACACATATTTTTTATAGATTCGGAAGAGTCTTCTCCAAAGCGTTACACATTTCGTGCGAAATTGAAGGTACCCTTAGTTAGGGTACACAAACCAATAAAGCAATTTGAACTTGTACCTCCTGCTGCTTATCGTTAAATTGAAAAATTTCGCAATAATTTAACTAATTGTTAACAAGAGCAGGTTAGCTGTCATATTGAGTGATAATTGCTTGGAAATGCTTGGAATGCTTGGAATGCCAACTATTTGTCTGAATGCCAATTCCCAAAAAAAAAGTAAAATAATAATAAATACAAACCCGAAAAACAAGTCGCCATTCATTTCCCAGTATCAGTCGTTTGCACTCGACAATCGGTATGCCAGATCAGCTCGAGGATTCCAATTCTCTCGAAAACTCACTCAAAAACACAACGCGACGCGACAATTGAAAAGACGACTTTGCCGTGCTCAGCTCCAAATGGCAATTGTTTAGCCCCCCAAAAAAAAACTGTCGGATCATGCGAGCATGTTTTTATGTTATATAAATCAGATTTGAGGCGTGGCCATAAATTTGTGCGATTCGGATCTTGGGAGGGGGGTCGCAGCGGGAGGCGGCCATGGCGCTAATCGCTAATCGCTGTGATAAAGCTCTATGCATTCCGTCATGCAGGAACTCTTGAGAAGTCAATGGTTTAGTACATACGTACATGTATAAAAGTCAATGGCTTAGTATGTGTACTAATATAAAAACATATACTATCCATATCTGCAATTCCTTGCCAAAATTCGTTGACAAGCCAACTCTTGAGAGGCTATTGAATTTTAAATAAGCATGTATCCCGTGCATGCCAAGGCCTTATAAACTCAATGACGAATCGATCAAAGGCTTTTGTTTGGTCATATTCCTCACATACTTATATGTTAGTTAGGGTATCAGTAGCAATAACATAAGCAGATTATGTTAATTATGCTAATTCTCTTCTACATATGCAATTTAATGCCATAAGCACACACATACAAACACATGTAAGAAGCCTCGCTCTCTTTCGAACTCAATTACAGAGATCAGTCCCTTTAATCTTGAGTTATGTTAAGAATTCAGTTCTGCTTACAGAGTTCGAAAGAGAGCGAGACTTCGTACATGTGTGTGTGCTGTTTGCATGTGTAGAAGAGAGTTAGCATAATCTTAACATAATGAGCATCATCATCGCTCAGTGATTTGTCTAAACTTCATGAAATCCTCATAACATGCTTAAAAGATCAAAAAACGCTGCTGATCTAAAAGCTTTCAAAGAAAAGCCAAAAATCGCGAAAACCTAACCTAACATAACCGTCATGTGTACCGTTAAGCTGTAATTAAATTGTGTGCTTAAGATAGTGGAGGGAGATACTCTTTTTTAGCTGGAATTGCAATTGGCGAGCCCCTCGGATCACAGCTAAGAAAAGTCACGTAATCAGCAGGTTACGCGGCTTCTAAATTGGTATATGACCATGGGAAACGTGATCTAAACGATCCATAAAATGTGACAGCTGCCCAAATGGAACGTCTCACGGCATATCCATATCAGCCTGCAGCCGCATGTACCTGATAAGGCTCCAATCAGTCTCTCTCTCTAATTCGACAAACAGGGCGCAAACAACTCGTTGATTATCTATCATACAGCAGTGGGAACTCCGCTCGTGGAGTGGGGGTAAATCGGAATTTTTGCAATGTTGACAAGCATTTGATTAAAGAGTTGCTAACACGAATGTGGTTCATGTGTGGTTCCCGATGATGATGATGATGATGATGATGATGATGTATCGAGCTGGTATCGCATGATAACAATATCCAACGATTTTAACAACAATTGAATCATCCGGACCGCAGGCTTGTCTTCCTCTAGATGTTTCCCAAGACTCCAAATACAATTCTGCGCAGTACAGTGGCGAGCTTTGGCTGGTTTGATAAGTCTAAAGTGCCTTAGGCCATCATAAACTGCAAGTATTGTGCCATAACGAAATCCCCTAAGCCATGAGAATCAATAAACGGATTGGCAGTCGAAAACCTTGGGTTAGCTGACCATATCTACAATCCATTTATTTGATTTTGTTGGCCATCTTACCAGGGTGCAATTGGTAAGGCGCCATTTAAAAGACAAAACCTTTTCTACTGCGTCTAAAATTAGTGAAGTCGACTCTATAAGCCCCCTCTATAAAGATGTTGAGATTATAGCCACTAATCGCATTATAATGAACTGCTCGCAAGGCATTTGCTGCGATCAAGTGCTTCAGCTTTTGGTACAGACTTTACTGCCAATACTCAAAATATTTAATGACTGTTTACTTCAAACCGATCGCTCATATACTTATATATATATATATACGTCTACTACAACACATAGAAAACTTTATTGTAAATTACCATTTTACAGCTTATTTGTAGTCTTTTAAAGAGCTTGAATATTGTACATTGGCATACAGCAAACTTTCTATGAAACAAACGGCATTGTTTCTATAGTTAAATATATATGTATATTATGTATATTACACTCTAAGCGAATTTAATAGAAAAAAATCGAATGCATTGCGACAGGTGTTACTGATTCTGGCTTCCTTTGCGGCCCCGACCTCATTTCAGTATGGACCACTTGAGCTGCTCGCGCGCCGATTGCAGAACCTGAAATCAGAAACATGATCAAACAACAATTAACTAATGCATTGGTAAATGATAAAGAAAAAGAAAAGAAAATGCATATTGCCAATGTGCAAATAATAATACGCCGGACAATCTTTATTTGATCGTTCAAAGAGCAACCGATTAGCGTCGAGTTAGTTTCAAATCAAATTCATAACATAATAATAATATGTGCTACATAGATAAATACATATTGTACTATATACAAAAAATGATTGTGCTTGATTGTGCGTTTGATATGTCTACATTTGTTCATGGTCGGGTTAAGAAACAGACTGTGATAGAACTACCAAAATAGACCATTTAGTGTGTTAGTTACCTGAGCAACGGTCTGTTCGGCAATGGGTATATCCTCGTTGCGCAGGTCGACACGTTTCACCACAGATGAGGGATCCGCGTCCAGAATGATGCTGCAATACGTGTAATTCGCATTAGTTGAACTTGCTTAAATTTTTCGTAAGCATGCCGGACACTTACCCGCCGTCGCAAATCTCATCAAAGGCCAGCATGATGATCTCCAGATTCTCCAGAACCAGGCGCTTCTCCACGTTCTTCTTGAGAATGAGGCTTATGGAGTCGTACAAACAGTTGAGCACCGACAGCAGTATCAGCTCGTTCTCGTACGCATTGCCCATCACGTAGAAAAATAAGTCCACGTTGCTTTTGTAAACACACGTCAGCCCGTCGAGCATGATGATTTCAGTGTTGGAACGGTGCGTCTTGTTAAACAAATTTTTCTCGAACGCCTTCTGCTCCTTCAACGTGGACAATATGTTTTTGTCGTAGTATTTGGCCAGTATCCGGTTGCCGTCGTTGTCCATGATACACATGCCCTTAATAATGTCCTGCAAAGTGCAAGCATGTTATTTACCGATGCAATTCATAATAAACATTGCAATTGATAAAAACCATCATAAATCCGTCCATTTTGTTGCCAGCAAAACACAATTATCACGGTTGTCCCAAATTACCCAACACTGGGTTCTTAAGCGGCAGCTGTGGTGGCATTCGATAGGAACAGCACCGACACAGCTGATATGCCGAGTTATCGATAATGATGGTTGTTGAACTGTTAAGCTGCTGTTAGCTTAAATTTGTTATCGGTTTTGACAGCTTAAACTGTTTTTCAAATAACAGTAACGCTTGTTTGCTTTTCCTAAAACGTTAAATGCTATAATAGAAGTATAAAAAAATTATAGAACATATTCATAACGTACTAAATTGTGAAATTAAAACACGCACACACCGACACATTTGCGCGCTTGCAAACGAAATTTATCACCTTTACTGAATTATATATTTTGTTGATAACTTGATGTAATGGATATTTTGCCAGAAGACGGCTCGGAGCAAGACGTTAAAGATGTTAAAGAAGGAAAAGAGCTCAAAGTTAAGGAGATCAAGGAAGTCAAAGAGGACAATGAGGTCAGCGAGGCTCGAAAACCGGCTCGACGCAAGCACGAACATGACAAAGCGGAAATGCATGTGGTTGTCGGAACGGCAGCCGTGAGGCCCAAACCGGTCAAAGTCGAGGGCAAGAAGCTGCGCAAGAAACTGCTTGAGTTTGAACAGGAGAACCAAACGCTGGCCAAGGCCATAACTGACAAAAACCAGGAAATTTCCGCGCTCAAGCGCTCCGTGGACTCGCTAAACGAAGTGCTCAATTCGGTGCCAATCGACGAGCTGCGCTGCAATTCCTCCATAGCCGGCTCCAAGATACTGGAGCTGAGCAAAAAGAATCGCCAGATGCGCGCCGAGCTGGAGCAGCTAAAGAATCGCGTCAGCAAAAAGGATGTGCTGATCGAGAAGCTGGAAAAGGAACTAAAAATCAACGAGGAGAAGCTGTCGATGAACGGCGAACTGCTCAAAAAGGGCAACGCCTCCGACGAGCTGCACGCCAAGATCAACAGCATGCAGCAGAAGCTCTTCGAGACGCGCAACAAGAATACCGAGCTGCAAAACCAGCTCAAGCTGGCGCACAAGTGTCTGCAGCACGAGGTCGGCGAGGCCGTGAATATCAATATCTTGGCCAACAATCTGAACCAGGCCAATTGGCGGGGACGCGCCCAGCAAATCCTGTCGCTGCAGCAGAAGCTGCAGGAGCTCAAGGCGCGCCTGGACACCTATGAGAATGGCTACTCCGATCGGGCCGACTATATGCCCATACCGCTCGGCTCTGAGCTGGACCTGGGCAGCACCAGCAACAGCATCAAATTGACGCCACGCAGTGTCAAGCTAATGAATTCACCGGGCAGGCACAGTTCCTCCGTCAGCCTGGGTGCCGGGGATGGTGGTGGCGCCACCTTTGACCGCTTTACGCCGGGCGTGCGCAAGAGCGAGATCTTGCACAGGGCCAAGGTTGAGACGCTGGAGAAGGAAATCACCGCGCTGCAGACACAGCTGGATGAGCAGCGCAATCGCACCCTGGCGCTCAAGGTGCGCAACAAGACACTCAACGATGAGATGCTCAAGTACAAGATGCGCTCCACCGAACTGGAGGAGCAGTCCGACTGCAGCGGCCTGAATGTGTCCACCATGAACGAGAAGCTGAACCGTCAGCGGAATCAATACGAGAGCCGATTGGAGGATCTGCGCAATGATGTCATACGTATTACCGAGGACCGCGATATTGCCAAGCGCCAGATGGAGGAGCTGAGTGGCATGAATCTGGAGCTTGAGACCGAGCTAAAGCAGAAGGATTGCTGCCTGCAGGGCCTGCAGGATGTGATCAAGAAGCTGGAGACGGATTTGCGTGCGTTAACTGGCGGATTTCTGTTCTCCTGTCGCGAGTTCCGTAAGGAAGAATTTGTGGGCATACTGGATGCCTTGGAGGTGGAGAAGAATCAAATGATGCTATTGAACAAAACCCTGGACGAGCGACTAGAGGCGGAGCGTGTCAAGAACGACGCATCCGCAGATCAAATTGCCAAGCAGAAGACACGCATCTCGCGCATGGAGGCCAAGATACGTGAGCTGGAGAAGGAGCTGGATGTGCAGGCAGATCGCAAGAAGCGCAGCCAGCGCATAACCGAGTACGCCAATGCACTGGGACGCACTCCACTGACCGGGTCCATCAGTTCGTTTAGCTTTGACAACCAGTCGCAGTGCCAATCGGTCACCTCGCTCAACTCCTTGCTTGGCGCCGAGCCCAAGATCGAGGACATGAAGAACCAGTAAGTGGCAACAGTTTACCCCCCAAGTAACCGCTAATATCCACCTGCCACACAGATTGGAGCTGGCCAATGAGAAGATCGCCATGCTCACCGAGAAACTGGAGTACATTAGCGCCGAGAAGCGCGCCGACGCCAAGTTCTTTGAGGAGACCATGCTCAACTCCAAGAACATCATACTGGACACCATACTCGGCTCGCGCGATGCTGGCCGCAACCAAGCAGATCCCAAATCGGAGTCAATCGGCGAGTTGCCCGTCAATGACGGTGTCTGATTACAACGAACAATGTTTTATGTCTGTTTTGTTACCCAGTTTTATTATATATCCATGTGACGGAAATCAAATCAAATGATTTGTTGCCTATGGAATTAAATTTGAACAAAAAAAATGTAATCCCTTTTTTCTTTTTCTAGAACTCAGCCGGGCAAAGACGCCCACAACTCACTAGAGATTAGGATGGCTACGCAAACTCTTGACAGGATTCTTCTTTGAAGGCAGGAGCTAAGGAGCTAGAGTGTACGATTATGTCCCCCATGGCTTCAGCCTGTGCCCAAATAAAAACAAATTCTAGTTTTATGTAATTTTGCATTTTATTTGTAACACATTGAAAACGAAGCCTTTGACGCTGCTTCACTCGATTTTTATTTAGTTAATATAATTGTTTAATATTTAGGCATATTTCATAGTACAATTGCATGTGGCTGTGTGAATATTCATATTTATTTTATGATTATTAATTATTGCAGACTTGCATGTGTGTGTGTGTGTGTGTAATACCATATCTTGGCTATAAACTATGCGTTTGTAAATTATGACAACAATTACAACGTCTCGTCCAGCTGCTGCTCCATAAACTCCCATCACATATATTTATTATTCATATCGTATATAGTATATATTGTGTGTATATATATAATATAATGAACAAATTGTGTATCAATCGGTTTTATAGGCTTGCTTGAAATTCGTTTCGATTTCTTGTTAGTCATAGTATATTAATTATCTCTCTATATGTAGTCTAGGCATTTATTATATTATGCGATAAGCCTAGTAAATGGTTTATCTAAAAAACACGTTTAGCAAATTAAAGGCACTTCAAGGATTTTGTTAAACGAAACAATTTCAAATACCCTAGAGTTATAGAAACAAAAACAATTGCAAGTGCTTATATTATTATTATTAATATACTTCAATTATAGGCAAAGGAGCAAAAAAAAAAAATAATAAACAAGTTGGTCAAAAATGTTGCAATTAATTAGTTAATTGCAACTATTTGCCAACCTGTGTGTTTAGGCAACGAGAATAATTCTTGTTCCTGGATTTAGATTTCTATATAAATTGACAAAATTGTAGGGATGCATCCAACTTTGATCTAAACGCGGCAAGCTTTTAAAAAGCACAAGTTTAGCTTAGGCTGGCTGCCCTATATAATATATATATATATATATAGCTGCCGATCTGAACATTATACTAACTAGGCTGCACTAATAATTCACTGTAATCGTGTATCAAGTATATTTGTTAGTAATATATTTCGTTATGCCTTACAAATACTAGACTCTAATTCCATTAGAAGCTATTGCTAGTTCTGTGACAATTGAATTTGTGGTAACCGGAATCGGTTAGCTGGCATATTTTTAATTAATTTGATTAACATGTATTGTATATAGTTCAATAAATATTTTGTTAATTTTTCCACTTGTAGATAAATGCAGAATTTTGGCTGGGTTAGCTTTTGGTCGCTTAATTGGAAAATCTATTTGTTTTTCATTCAGAGTTCATGTAAAATTACAAAATCTTGTTGCTATCAATTTGTTGTTGTTGTTTTTGTTGTTGTTGTTGTCGTGGCTTGTTTATTATTATTATTATTATCATTGTTGTTGTATTATTGTATATGGTATATATTGGGAATATTCTTATAAATGGCTTATGGTTCTTGCTTCATGTTCCGATTTCACATTATTCTCTATGCTATTAATTTTACATTTGTTTTCTTCACTTTCTTCTTTCGTTTCGTTTTCATTCTGTTTGTTTTTTACATATTGGCCTGTGTGTCGACTATATATATACTCTATATATATATAAGTGTGTGTGTGTGTGTGTGTGTTTGTGTGGGGGAAATATATTTCAGCGCCGCCTAAAAACGTGGTTGAAATAATAGTAAATGTCCTGTTCCGCCTGCTGCTGTTGGGGAGTTTTTCGTGTCGCCTGCTGCTGCTGCTTGGGATCCACTTGCGGATGATAATTGTTGTAATGATGATAGCCATGCATATCGTACGGATTATGGAGTCCCGGATGCATGCCAGGATGTATGCCCGCACCAACACCGCCGCCACCACCACCACCGCCGCCACCGACCATTGGATTGCCCGCGCGCATTAGATTTGTGTGCATATTGCGATCCGCTAGGAACACATTGATGAAGAAGATGAGCACGAGCAGTATGTACAGCAGGCAGACCAGTATCACCACAAACTGCTGGCGGCAACAGCAGTAGTAGCACATTCCCTATTATATAACCGCCTGCTCCACGTAGTTGGCGGGCAGCATGCCGGTCTTGCCGGTGCGCTCCACGCGCCCGGTCATCCAGCCAGAGTCAATCGATTCCACCTCAAAGATGACGTCGCCCTCACGAAAGCTAACCTCGTCCACGTCCTGCGCCTCATAGTCATAAATGGCGCGATAGACGCGCTGCAAAAAAAAGGAAACAAATTTAACGAAGAAGTTCATGTGAGGAACTGGGAATAACTACTTACCAGGTTGCTCTGGCGCGACTGTTTCTCCTGCAGTGAAGCCGGCGGTTGGCGAACCTGTTGCTCCTGCTGCTGCATCATTTGGACCTGCTGATAGTATTGCTGCTGCTTCTGGGCCTGCGCCTGCTCGGCGCTGCTCAGCGAGCCGTAAATGCCATTGGCGGGATCTATGTCCGAGATGGAGCCAATGCGCTTCGGATACACGCTGTTACCTGGTCACAGAGCAAAGCATTTGTTAGGCTTAGGGCGCAATACACACTACTAAATGCAATGCACACGGAGGGAAGGACAAGCACAAGATGACATGTTGATGCACATCGAGCTGAGCTGAGCTTAGCGCTACCGAACTACCAGCTAGCCTGTAAGCCCTTCGCTTCTGCTACTTACCCACGCCTGCGGCTGCGCCGCGCTGATCCGAGCTGTACACCAGCGTTGTGCTGGAGCGTCCGGTGCTGGGCATGGGCCTGGGTCCATCCGTCAACGGATCGTAGTCGGCGATTTTGCCAATATTGTTGCTGCTGTTCTGCTGCGTTGCGGCGCTCACCACGACGGGCAAATGCCCATTGCTGGCCTGCAGCTTGGCGCCCAAAGCGTTCTCCGAGGGCGTAACCGGACTGTAGTTGGGCGCCACATACAGCTGTTGCACATTTGTGTTGCTCTGATGTTGCTGCTGCTGTTGCTGTTTTTGTTGCTGCTGCAGCTGTTGCTGTAACTGCAGCTGATGCTTGCTGTTGTTGCTGTGCAGGCTCGCCTGCGAGCGTGTCTGTTGCTGCTGTTGTTGCTGTTGTTGCTGCTGCTGTGTATAGCTGAGGCTGGCCGGATGCGGATGTGCCGGTCCGCCATTGTTGTTGTTGTTGTTGCTGCTGTTGCTGTGGATGCTGCCGTTGCTTGCATTGTTGTTCAACAGGCTGCTGTGCGAATGTTGCTGCTGCAGCTGCTGCTGACTGGCCTGCTGCTGCTGCTGCTGCAGCTGCTGCTGTGAGTGATGTTGCTGCAACTGCTGCTGCAGTTGCTGCTGCTGCAAAGCCGCTGCCGAGTTCTGACTATGATCAAACTGATCCGCAGCATTGCCACTGGGATGATGCGAATTATGCAAAATAGCCGAGCGCAGCTGATTGTAGCTATTAACCGCCTGCGGCTGCTGCGATTGCTGCGGTGTGGCTTGCTGCTGTGGCGGCGGCTGCTGTTGTTGTTGTTGTGCCTGCGATGTTGCTGTGGGATACAGATGTGAGGCTTGTTTAATGGCGTGTTGCTGCTGCTGCTGCAGCAACTGTTGCTGGCGCAACGCCTGCGGCTGTTGGTAGTGTGCGTATGGATCGTGCAGCGGCTGTTGCTGCTGCTGTTGCTGCCTGTGATTGCTGCTATGTTGCTGCTGCAACAGCTGCTGCTGTTGCTGCTGTGTCAGCTGCTGATGTTGGTGTTGATATGTGGGCGTTATGGCCGCCGTGTTGTATTGCTGGTGTTGTATTGGTGGCGGTGGCAGCGTTTGTTGTTGCACATAGTGTTGGTGTTGATGTTGTTGTTGTTGATGTTGTTGTTGTTGATGTTGTTGCTGTTGTTGATGTTGCTGGTACTGTTGATGTTGCTGCTGCTGGTGCTGCAGTGTTGCTGGCGGTATGGGCGAGGCTGTGGGTGCATATTGCGAGAATTGTTCAGCTGCCAATTGCTCAGAGAAATATTCCGATTCGTCTGCACAAAGCGATTTGTTCATTGCCCCAGTTAGTGTTAGGTTGTGTGTGTTGGTGTTGTACAAGTGTTGTGTAACGTTAGGTTAACGGTAGTTCAGAAAGCACACACACAAATTATGAGCGCAGTTGTTGTTGTTGTTGTAATTGATGAATGAGCAACAAATGATAAACAAATCCATAAGCAAAAACGATAAACAAAAAAATAGAGGGAATTATAATCAATATTAGTTACACAGAGTGAAAAGAGGAGCTGGGCATATGGAGGCGACATATGGCGCTGCACAGTGTTGCACAGTTGATTTGTTTTAGTAATGAAAAGTGAATGAGGCGCAACAGTGTTGCATAGTTGCATGCGTTTTGGCAAATGAAGTGTGGATCAGTGTTGGGTAATTGAGTTGCATGATCAATGTTTTGTGTGTGTAATTAATGTATTTTAGCAAGTTCTCAACACTTTTCAAGCCAAACAAATTAGCCTGGCAGCACTGTGCGCACATTATGCGCTCTAATGAGCACAATAAATGATGATTTAATCAGTTTAGTCACATTTAATGCATGTGAATTGACGACAATTCCATTGATAAACGCAATTCAAACTAATTAATTAACCAAACAAAAAGCAACATTAACTCAACTTAAGCTAATTGTAGCCAAAAGCTTTAAATTGCCAGCAATTGCCATGAATAATGAGACAGATATATATACAGAGAGGGAGAGAGAGAGATGGAGACGGAAAAGCGCTGGAAAATTGGCTACTCACTGCTGCTGTCGGAGACCTCCGCAGAGCCGCGCTGCTTCTCCATGGCGGCCTTCTTCTCCAGATCGCCATGATATGCCACATTCGATATGTGCTTCGTGTTTTGCTTGATTCGCAGCGTTTCCGGGTCGTCTGCCACCTGTCGAGGAATCAGTGTTAATTATTATTATGATGATGATGATTGAAATACTGCACACACACACACAAACTCTGTCGGTTAACTGACCTGTGTAAATTTGCCTTTGGCCTTCTCAAAGTCTGCGTGGTATTTCACATTCGATTGGATTTTCGTATTTTCCGCGATGCGCTTCAGCTCGGGCGTATCAGCAATTGCCGTTGCCTTGGCCTTGGGTATGTGCCTGCAACAGAGAGAGAGAGAGGGTTAGTGAATGAGAGAAGGAATGCATGAAACGCTGCCTGAGATGTTGGCATAAAGTTCAAATTGCCGCCGGTCAACTTTATTATTTCTTTCTTTTTGGAAAGACTGCTGTTGAAAATTTCCACTGCTGCATTGCGGAAATAGCTACAAAAATCTGTTGCTGCTGCTGCTGCTGCAGTTGATGTGGCGGTTGCTCCGCCCACCCTGTTGCCGCCGGGGTCAGAGCGCATATCATTTGGCAGCACTTGAACGCATGTTGCATCGCTTTCGTGTGCAGAACCTCTGACCTGACCCCTGCTCCCGCCACCATATCCCATCCATCCCCCCACTCATGCCAGTTGTTTTATCAATTAAAACAGCATTTGTGGCATTTTGATGCGGGATCACATTTCTTTTTGATTCGACTCCCCCCAACCCCAGCCCGAGCCCTGGGGCAGCTAACGGTTAATGCATGTTGCAGCGAGCGATGCGAATGATGCGGTTTAAAGCGCAGCTAAATGCAATTTTCGACCACAGCCAAAGAAAAGTTTTGCGGTATCAACTGAATTTCTGCAGCATTTATTTTCGCTTCAAGTGTTTGGCAGGTCGAAAAAGGGGGCAGGCATTAGCATAAGATGAACGATCTTTGGAAAGTGTCTGGATTATCAGATGCATGTGTATTAAGAGGAAACAGTAATTGTATAAAATAAATGTGGAACTTACTTGAACTCGTGAGAATCGCATATAAAGGCGTTATTAAAATAGACAAAGATTAGTTTAGGTGGATTCTTACTTATATTCTTGAGAATCGCAAGTGAAGGCGCTAGTTAAAAAGACAAAGACTATGTGACAATAAAATAGGTGGGCCCTACTTGAATTCTTGAGAATCGCATATAAAGGCGCCAGTTAAAAATACATAGATAACGCGATTCAAAGATGGACTTCAAGTTTAAGGGAAAGAGAGCGAACTAGAGTAGGAGAGCCGCTCTATATGTGTTTCACATATAACTAATAATAATATAAGTATCGTAAAAAACCTTTCAAGTTTATGCTTAAGCTTATTTCCCTTTCCTTTGCTTTCTAAATATTTCAGAGATTTCTCTTTTCAATTTTTAAACTAAGTTGTCTGTTTATCAAAACTAAAAGCGTAATTGTTGTGTAATTGGAATTTTATCAAATTGCAGATTTAAAGGAAATAGAACATATAATACCCCCCATGTTATCAAAAACTGTGTGTATTTGTGCGCAAAAGCTGATAGGAGAAATATGTTGAACAATACCGAGAAAATGCAATATGAGATATGATTAATGCTACCCAACGGACTAATACATCAATTTAATTATGGCGAAAAAAAGGAATAAAAAAGCGGAAACCAAAGCCAAACAAACAACATTGTAAACTCTGGACACGAGCGCAATATGTAATCATAAAGTACAAACACACACACACATACATGGAGTATATATCGTGTGTGTTTGTTTGTTTGTTGATTTGAACCTATCAGTTGGCTAATCGATCGATTGATTGCAACTCGCAACTGATAACCACAGCAACAGCAGCAGCAACAGCAACAACAGCAACAACAGCAACTGGCAAAAGGTTGATAAACCCATTGCCTGGCCCTTCCTTAGCTTAACAAACACATCCCCCCTCTTTTACACTACGCCCCCCTCTCTCTCTCGCTTGGCCCTATTCATATTGCAATTGTAATTGCGCGCAACTAAATTGGCTTATAGAATATTTATGGATACATCGTGTACGTATCGAACGCAGCTGTCGCCAAGCGCTGCCTTTGACATTAAAAGTGGGCGTGGCTGGTAGGGAGGGATGGGGGCGGTGCTTAAAGAATGGGCTACGGCGACAATTATTTAGTTTAATAAATATTTGTGTAAATTCCAATATAGCTGCTAATTTAGTTTGGTTACAACGAGCTGGCCCGGTGCGCACCCTCAATTCCAAT